TCGACACCTTTCGGTGTGTGGAACAACACCCCCCAGCTGAGCCACCGGGCAGGGCCTGATGGTCTTCTTGTATTTCTAGGAATTCCGTATTTATTCTGTGATCACACGCCCCTTGGTACCTTGACCACCTTTTACAAAATATGGGCACGTCTGTGACGGATTCTCTGCTCCCTTCCAGACAGGGAAATAGGCCTGGCAGAGAAGCCCTTTCCACACCTGCCCAGAGGCAGTGCTGGCTCTGGAGGGCTAAGCACTGGGAGGGGGTGAAGGCACTGTCTGCAGGAACCTTTCTGAAAAGGCCTTTCCATAACTAGAAGAAAGGGTCCCTACTCCCCCAAATCTGCCCCCTTCCCTTCCATGCTCTCCTGACACCCATTGTGCCCCAGGGGCAGCTGTCAGGTGGGGTCTGCTCCATCCGAATGGCCCCCTGAGTGTGAAGGTGCCCTTTGTCACTTACAGGCACGTGAAGCTGGCAAGTCGCTTCTCTCCCTGAGCCTCAGTTTCCCTGTCTGTAAAATGGGCCTGAGGAATATTACTCAGTCTAAAAAGGAAGGAAAGTCTGGTACCTGCTACAGTGTAGATGGACCTGGGGATATTATGTTGCGTGAAGTAAGCCAGGCACAGAAGGACAAATATTGTGCTACTCCACTGATACGAGGTCCCTGGAGCTGTCAGATGGATAGAAACGGAGAGTGGAATGGTGGGTGCCAGGCGCTGGGGCTGGGAGAGGATGGGAGTTAGTGTGTTGTGGGGACAGTTTATGTGAATGCGCTTAATGCCACTGAACTATACACCTAAAAATGGTTAAAATGGTAAATTTTATGTTTTATGTACTTTACTACAATAAAAAAGTTTGAGGGGGAAAAAGGGCCCCAAAGCAACGAATACGTCCCCGGCTTGTGAAGCTCCAGGCTTGGCCCTCCCCCCGCTGTCGGCCTGGGAATGGGGAGCAGCTGTGCCTGCGGTGTTCAGGTGTTTAGTCACCTTGAGTCATCGGCTCCTGGGGTGGTGGCTGCACTGGAGCTTCTGGGGGGGATCCATCGCCTTCCCCAGGGCCCTCTGGTTGGGCTGCTTCCTCCCTCTGCCCTGCAGCCCTGCAGCCCTGGTGGAGCTGAAACTGAGGCTGCCTCTCCCTGTCACACCCACTCTCGCCCTACCCCGCTCTCAGGGCTGCTCTGAGACCCTCTGAATGTATTGAGCACCTACTGCGTGCTGAAGGCTCCTGTCCCCAAGGAGCCTCCGATCCTCTCCCAGGTGGCGGGAAGGTTGAGGAGATTGGCTCCAGCCAGCGCTGAGTGCCACCCCGCCCTGCACTAAGCCCTGTAAAGATGGGATTGTGGCCCTGGCCAGTTTGGCTCAGTGGTGAGACATCGGCCTGAGGACTGAAGGGTACCGGGTTCGATTCCAGCCAAGGGCACATACCTCAGTTGCAGGCTCGATCCCCGGCCCTGGTCAGGGTGAGTGGGGGAGGCAACCAATTGATGAGTCTCTCACATCGATGTTTCTGTCTCCCTCTCCCTCCCTCCTTCCCTCCCTCCCTCCCTCTCCCTCTCCCTCCCTCTCTGGAACAAATATCCTTGAGTGAGGATTAAAAGAAAAAGATGAGATTGGGGGCCTCTCCCAGCAGCCCCGTGGGGTGCCCTGCCTGGGTGTTGGTGCTGATCCGGGGCTGCAGGCCAGTGAGGAGCTGCCTGTGGCCCCCCTGACTGAAGCTCACCCAGGCCCAGCGCGACGCGGGCACCCATCTCCGCTGCGGCCCAGCACCGGCCCAGCACCCTCCCGCACGGCCCAGCATCTGGGCCGGTGTCGGGCCTGCCTTGTCCCTCCCGTCCCTCCCCACACATCACACTGGGCCCAGGGGCCCCTGCAGCAGGGGACACACCTGGGTCACTCAGCCAACAGCTAAGCTGAGCTCAGGAAGTGCTTCAAGACCAGGTTGGAGGGTGGGGCCGGGGGTAAGGGCCAGACCTACAGGGACAGCACGTACTGGACTGTTCCCTGCCTCAGCCTCGAGCTCCCTCACCTGGAAAGGGCGCTGTGAACGTTCCCACCTGCAAGCCAGGGCAGGAGGGCAGCTTGCAGAGCTCAGATCGCAGCCCAGAGGCACCTCCTCACTGCGAGGCTCCCAACACGCCCTTGCCCCTTGAAAAGGTTGCGACCACATCCTGCCTGGTCATAGCTGCCTCCACCCCCACCCCGGACATCCTGCCGTGGTCCGTCACTTTGGATTCTCCAGGGCAGGCTGCCGTGGCCCTCAGGCCTTCTCCTCTTGGTTCCTCCTCTCTCCTGTCCCCAGTCATTGGGTGTCCCCCTGGATGTGGACTTGGGGAGCAGGAAGGGAGGGACGAGTGTCTGGGTGTCTCGGGTGGGGCCGCTGCTTGATTCAGCAAGCCCTCCCTGGAGTGCCACTTCCCCAGGAGTGGGTGGCTCGATGAGCCAGCTGGTCATTAGAGGGCCTGGGCCTTCCTGTGGCGAGCACTCCCCCGGGCCTGTGCCTCTTGGCCTCATCGGGGGGGCTGACCCCTGGATGGAGCCACCCACCCAGGGCAGTGCTGGTGTCTACTGGCCCTGTAGTGACCTGGTCTCTGGGAGCCCCGGCGAGTGGGGTGGCTGCCCTCCTGCACTCAGTCTTGGCACCGCTGCTTTGTGGGGCCTCTGGGCAGGTGGAGAGAAGGCTGAGCAGTGGTAAGGACCCAAGCAGGGAGGTGGACGGATGTGCTGGGGCTTAGTCTCGGCTCTGCCCTCAGTTTATAGGAATGATGTTGGGCGGTGACTCTGCCTTTCGGGCCTAGTTCCTCACCTGTGGAATGGGGCCAAAGGTAGGCCCTGCGTTCGGGCATCACAGAGGTTCCGTAAGAGGGCCCCGTGGTCAGGGCTAGCTCAGTGCCTGGCATACATCCGTCTCAGTGCCCCCGTTCTTTCCTCCTGTCCTCCCCACCCATCCCAACATGCCCTGGAAGGGCAGGACGGCGAGGTCGCAGGGAGGCCCTGTTTTATGAAGCATCCATCGCCGCCGTCATTATTTGTATTAACAGTTATCAAAATAAGGCGGCTCAGTCCCATTACCTGGACTCCCTTGTTCCTCTCCCAAGAGAAACAGATCCATTTGTCAAAACGCGGGTTTGAAAACCTTCCTTTAAAGTCTAGATTAGAAAATAGGGTGTAAAGTGAAATCACAATTTTATTTTTTAAAGTATACGCAGAAAGGACCAGAAGGTCATTCCTCATTGAAAGGCTACCTGTGGGTAGCCCTGGGTGGTGTTTTTCTGGGGGGTTTCATCCCTGTCCCCGGGCTGTGTGTCTTCCCCAGCCATTCTCCTTGAGCGCCGGGTACCTCCCTCACCCCGGCCGTCCTACGGTGCCCGTCACGGGAAGCATGCGTCCTGGCGGAGGGCCCCGGGTGAGATTCCCACACACGTTTGTCTTGCTGCACAGCTCCTGTTTGTCACTGGCTGGATTTCCTCGGTGTGGCTTCTAACGTAGCATTTCCCAAACTTGGGCCGTCGTTAGTGTCACCAGTGCCACGCGGTAAAAAAATCAGGTTCCCGGCTTCACCCAAGACCCACGGAACTGGACTCCTCGGGGAGAGAACCTGCTGCTGCTGCCACTTTTACTTTCTTTATACACACATGACGGGCACAGCCAGAAATAACTCCCCATAAGTGCTTATTCACGATCATGTCACCCTGCTCGGCGGAGACGGTCTTGCTCTCTTGTCCCCTCCCTCAGGAGCCCGTCGTTACGCTGCTGTGTGTGTTCTCTGGTGCTCCCCGAATCCTGTGTGGACGTAACTACCTGCACACGCAGGGGCGTCCACACCTCCCTGTTGGGTTCACAAAAGTGAGTTCATATAAAGGCCCCTCTTCTACATCTGCTTTTCCTCACACTTTGCAGAAATCTCTTCAGATCACTGGTGCAGCGTCGTGGCAGCTGGTCCTGGAGGGAACTGGCGGTTTTCACGAGCCCCTCCAGTCAGCCCAGTCAGTAGGAGGGTGGGGTCCAGCTGGATGTACCCAGATGCTCTTGCTGGAATGCAGGGGGCTCCTGTGAGGCCGAATTAGCTGCCTGTCAGCGCGGGCCCTGATCTCAGTGCTCAGTCTTCCTGTCTGTGAAATGGGGAGG